CGCGATTCGAATGTTTGTAAATTTCTAAAGAAAACTGCATTAAGATTTTACATCAAACTGTGTCTATTTTCCAAACAACTTATAGTATTCTATATTACTAAATTCTTATCCGAATTAACCAGTGTACAAGCTGATAAGCTTGGTTAGATAAAACAAACGAAACAACTGTTCGTCGCTCAGATCAAACTGATATGTATCCACATATATATATATGTATGATGATCTCTCTTTCTGTTTGCTCGCTTAGTCTGTGACCATTTCACTTGTATGAACCTGTCTCCTTTAACAATGTATATTCCCCTTATATTATATATAATATGAGTGTTTGTTGACAGTCCGTTGCTTGGTGACATATATCCATATATGGTGGTTGTTGACATGTCTGCTATATTTTGCTATGTATATATGGATCGATACTTCATTATAATTAGCCATTCATGTTAAGACTGTCTAATGATTTGTTCACACCCTTGTCTGAACATTCATATATATATTTCGTTCTCACAATCTTGTGACTTACACTGACTTACTTTGGTGTGATACCACTATTGTTTCTCCTTGTGTTTGGAAAATAGAAGTATCCTCGCAAACCTAGTGGTCTTCTGATTTCCGCCTTCTTGCGTCAGGACTATTAGTTTCTCGACCAGTCCATAACAATAATTTAGCGACGAGTACACAACACAAACTGATCTATCTAACTAGCTACCATTATTGATTTGATGTGAATGATTGTCAAACTGTGACTCGAAACATATTTACTTCTTTGCTTAACAAATTTATCAACCAAATACAGACTATATAAATACTTGTTTGTATTCTATGAATTTGCATTCCTCCAGAATAACGACAAACTTATTTTTTCAAATTATGCGGTTTCTGGGGGGTTTTTGAGGGAGATTACTGAAAACCAGAAGGCATTGGAAAGCTATTTCATTCTAGTTCGGGACTTTTCATTAGTGTTCACTCACCACGCCATCAGAGATTGAACCCAGCATCTCCAGGTTACAAGACCAAGCTCGTTGAACATTCAGCCACCTGGGCTTGAATTCAGTAACCCATGAATTCTAACTTTGTCAACTAGTGATATTGCTTCGTGATGAAGTCTAACAGTTGAAATCAATCTGAAAATCCTTACAAAAATCCCACAGTCTTGAATATTAATCTCCAGCTCACTGTTAGTTACTGGATGGATTCACCAAAGCTGCAGTGGGAAGCTGTGACTAGTCAGGTCCGTCATGTCAAAGTGAAGTGGATGTTCATTGATGATATTGGCTGACGGTAGTGCTATACCGCAAATTGACGAAGTTAGAATTCACAAATCATTGAATTCTGGTCCAAGTGGTTGACTAGTTAATGAGTTTGGTTTCGTAACCTGAAAGTCCCTAGCTCAATCCCTAATGCGGTCGTGGTTGAGTACTACTGGAGAATCAGAAATCATAAGGAAACAACTGTATTGTGCCCTCTGGTTTTGAATAGTCTCTCTAACTAGCGCTGGTCAGTGGTGAAAATCTAACAACTGATTTCTTGTTTTTTATTAAAGTTAATTTGAAGAGAATTTATCTTGGACTGGATCACGAAATGATATCAGTTAAAGAACTGTTGAAATCTAGGGAGTAATAGACTGTTTTTCATCTTAGTTTCAGAGTCTTCCCCTGGACCTTGGAGTTGAAAGGTGAGCTGGTCAACCAGTCAGACACTTAGATGCGATTCCAACTTCTTTAAAATGATGCCTATCTAAATCTTTTGTGTAGATCATTGAAAGGCCCTTATTCAATGAAACAAAAATTCTGCACTTCGCAACTTCCAGTTGTAGAATATTTAATATTAATTTGCTAAAATATTCGATTTGGTATCAGTTGAATTCCCATAAATGTACAAGAAGTTTTTCAACTATTTTCCTTCCAAATTATAAAACTGGCCTAAATACTAACTAAAATAAACACAGGTTCATGACACCTTAGCAGATTATTAGTGGACAATAAACTAGAGAAAATTTCACTTTCGAAATTGAATCATCTTCATATTTATTATTTTATTATTCTTATTTATTTCCTTCACGTTACCAGTGGAACATAGGGCTTCTAGCTGGAAGCTGAAGTTTCTTTAGCAGTGTTTATTTTTACAGGATGAGGTTGCTATCCTCATGCCCAACCTTCCCTCTTTACCAATCTTATTAATGGATAAGTGAGGTAAAGGAGTTCATCGGCCTTGATCGGACCCCGGACCATGTGCATGGTCAACGAGCATGCTAACCGCTGTGCCACCGACGCACATGAGTATAAAAGTATAACACTGAAACGTTCGCCGGCTAAACTTTACAACAATTTCCCCTCGATGTAAAATTTAACTTAGACAGTAAATTAAAAGCCTTTGAAAGCAGTCAAAAGAGATTTCACCTGAACTACGCTTTTTAATAACTTTTTCATGTTTAATCATTATAAAGTCATGATATATTTCAAAAGCAGAATAACCAATTTACGGTTTTGACTTCAGGTCATTTGCATATTACAAATATGTATCACTATTGTATTACGTCTTGTTGTTCAATGAATCTATATGAAAGGAGAAATTTTTCAGTTCATAATTATTTAATTTGTCGCTGGTTACTTTTTCTAGACTGTAAAGAGTCTGTATTCTTCTGTCGGCTTTTAGTACCAGAATTCAGCTGACGAGTCCTAAACGGAACGAAACATCCCTCCTGGATTTCACTTCTAGCCACCATCAGCCAAGTAACATCGCAGTAACCCAATGGTCGTGCGCTATATGCATACGCTCCTCCCTCATAATGTTTATCCCCCACCCCCTTTTCTTTTGCAATGTTCAAGAGATCCGGTTGGTCTTGCCATTCACAGTTTTGCTATCCTGTATGGACCTAGCTTTTGGGTAAGACTAAATTTACGCTGACTTGGCAGGATTGTATTCAAGTTGATAAGTTTAACATTTAGTTCTACATAACTGAGAAATCAGTGTGTAAGATTATAGGCGTACAACTTTGAGTGGTGGATCACTCGGCTGGAGTATCGATGTAAAGTGCAACCAACCATGTGAATTCAAATCAACTGTATACTGCTTTGAGCACCCAAATCTTGAGTGCGCATTGAGACTACGAGATATCCTGTGGCCACGTCTGTCCGATTATAAGCTTTTTATATGTTACTAAGCAATTTATGTAGTGGATTGGGCGAGTGTCTGCTGGCGATATCAAAGCCAACATGAAAACACACAAGTGGAATTTATACCAACGGAAAATTCGAAATAATACTACCAATAAATACACTTACTTAATTGTTTAAATTCATTCTCAAACAGCAACTCATTTCTATCATTTCAATGAACCCCTATCTTCTAGATGCTATTCCATGATGCATAATGTCATATATTCATGTAGATTAAAACTGTTGAAACGGATTCTTGGCAATACAATTTTAACAACCTTAGAAAATTTACTCGCTTTTATATTAATGCGCAGACTTTTTTAAGGGAATATTGTCTATTTTTAAACAAAGATGGAGCAGTCTTCGGACCGACTGAATGGGTCATTAAAATATTGATAACATCTAATTTCAATAAATAATGCAATCAGAAATGTTATTACTTAGCCATTTAGTTCATGACTGTCACCACCTGTAGGAATGAATTTTTATCCTTCTTTGCATTCCAAGTGGAACATAGGACTTCAAGTTTAAGCTTTGAAGTTTCAGTAGAGCTTATGTTGCTTTTACGCCCAACCTTCCCTCTTGTTCAGGCTTAAAACCGTCTAGGAGATGTTCACGTGTGTCGACGTGGAGACATGGAGACGACTATAGGCCACATGCGTGGTTGGTATACAACCCACCACTGAACTACGATACACAATAGGAATGAATTATAGATTTGAATTTGTCGTTGAACGATAATCAGTGTAGTTGTTTAGCTCGTAATCTATCGATCAGTTATGCAATGCGACTACTGATTTAAGTGGTTCATTTTTTCTATATCTGTCAAAGTTATTTTGAATTTCTCTTTGACTGATTATATTGGGCCAAAATACTCAGCCTTTGTACTGAGTTTGAGTCTCCAAGGGAATCCTATCATTTACCAACGACACTGGTACATCCGGTCGACGAGTCCCATATAGGACGAAACGTATCTTCTGAAATGCAGTGCTGTCCACCACCAACCAGCTAATACTTCTACATATTATCGTATACATTTTATTTGTGTAGATGTATATGAAATACGTATTCCGGCCATCTTGTTGTCCTACTGAAGTCATAATTCAATGAAGTGCCATATCATTACAAGCGCAGTGTCCACAGAGTATGTACACTGGACTGTACAGTACAAAGGACATAGCAACTAATCAAATAACGGAGAAAATGAAATACTAATAATAAAAATGATTTATTTCTGTACAATATGCTTATACACAGAATGGAATTCTCTGTGAGTTATATCACAAAATCTATACTCAGTATAGGATCTTTAAGTAAAATAATAACAGACAGTATATGTATAGCTGATGATAACTCCTCACCAGAACTCCAGGTAACTTCGTCCTATAGTCAGTCACAAGTGGGCATTAGATTAATTTTCAAGTGTTGGCTTGTAGGAATTTGATTGGCTTCAAGTTCGATCACGGACTGAGTCCCAAAACTAGGACTAAATAGCTCTCCAGTACTCTCAGGTTTTCGATAGTTCTATAACTAATACAAATCCGTAACCAAACTTGTAATCGATCAAATCCCTGCAAACTAATACCCATCATAAGATAGTTCCTTCAAGAAAAAGGCTAATCTATTGAAGGCCGTTTAAAAATTCACGAGATTACAGAATGTGATTCAAGGAAGTGAATGGTGATTAAAACAATATAAAGTGATTTGAACAGGCAGCCAGTGAAGAATACCACACTCATCCATCCTGACTGACTCTAAGCTATAAATCTTCTCTCTGTAAAACCTCACTAAAACTGATATATTTGTTCATCTTTTCGTTTGCTTCCTTTTCTTAAATGTTTCTAGGTCACTATAACATACTCAGAATTGTTACCAACCATAGAATCAAATACTGAAGCTTATCATAACTTCAATCCATTTTTAACTCCATCAACTGATGAAACATCATCTACGTCAAACATGAACTCACCATCCATACTAGTCAATCCACTGGAATTGAGGTATTTCAAAACTGGTCAATTATTATCTGATCATAATGATAATAAAAATTTGAATTTAAAACATCATTATGGCTACTTACGAAGAAGTCAGTTAAAAGAAATAAATCAGCCTTCTATCTTGACAAATGACTACAACAATATGAATTCATTACAACTTGTTAAACGTGTTCTAGCTGATTATAAACGACGTGCTATACTCGCCGATTATAAACGTTCCGCCTATATGAATAAATAATTCGTAACTGAATCTCTCTTATTGTTCATTGTTGCTGTCCTTATTGTTATTATGATTATTGCCGCATGAAAGATACAAACTTTGAATGAATATATATATATTCATTTAAAAAACATTAACTGAATCATTTTGTTTTGTTTGAATGAATTGCGCTACCGTTCAAATTTCAATGTGACAAATACGAAATAAATGTTCACTTTTCAATCGAATTTCTTTTTTCATTTTTGAGAAAGAAAACTATTATATTTAAAATTAAAATTTAATGGTTTCCAAGTGTTAATTTGCACATATTAATCTGGTTTTAGGAAGTTAGATCACCAGGTGACATCAATTAGAGATTTATTGAAATCTAACGATTACTGAATAGCCATTTCGTCTTAGTTAGAGGCTCTTCATCAGTACCCACCTATGACTTCACTGGGGATCAAAATCAGAAGTTGTAGGTTACCATAAGTCCACGTTACTATCAGACATTAGACTAGGATGAAATCCAGTGACCCAGGAACTCTAACTAGGTGTGGGAGTTCATGAAGTTCGATGTAAGGACAAATCGGTAGGCAGTAGCGCCACATACACTAACTAGTTGATCATCTACTGTATTTAATCTATTCATAACTTTAAAAAAATTCACCTTTTCCTACTGTAATGAAAGTTTTGACTTAAATGAATTTAGAATCTCTGAAGAAAATGTGTCAAATTGCCTAAGGTTGATAATAAATTATAAGAATAAAGTATTAAGAGTCAAGAAATGTAACCTGAGCAGAGCTTTCAATTGGTGATAACATTTTCCATCTGCCAACAGAAGTTAAATATACTCTTGAATAACAAATAATAGCCTGGTAATAATTAACTCCATTATAATTGGCTAGTCTTAATAAAACCATTGAGTCATGAACAAGATAAAAGACAATTCAGTGAAGAAATTTTTTACCAATGAAATTATTTCGGTGTCTTTTTAACTCAGTCATTTAGTAGTCTGTTATTGAGTAACAGGAATGCAAAATTATTGATACAGTTATTCAGGAGTGGTTTCTCAAAATACAAAAAAGGTTGCATAATAGCCAACGGCGACAGTCGATGTGAGCTTTGAAATTTAATAAAGTGAAAAGCACTAGTAAATGAGAAACAAGTAAGCTGGCTGAATGTCCGTCCACTTAACAAGTGTGAAAAGAATAAAAATGATAAATGACTAATAAAGCCTATAAAAGGAACATATACTAGGGGTAATAGTGCAGTACTTACTAAAAATATAAACCAACAAGTAGGAATGAGTTTAAGACCTTGGTAGAATGTGATTCTAAACAAACCTTTTCTGTACACACATAGCTCATGGTTGAGTAAACAAACCACCAGCGTCTTCACGATACACAAGACCCGAAGCTTAACATCCTTTGTACCGTCCAGTCTTACTTTATAAACAATCTTAAAAGAGGGATCTAATTGAGCCATATGACCTGAATTTACTAGTTACTTGAGAATTAAGCTAATGACTGGTTTAAATTGTCACTCTGATAACCATGATGGATAGGGTTCTGAGATGTGTTTCGGAAGTGAGCTGATTTAAGGTCGATATAAGTATCTCCACAGAAGCAGGTGAATTTACAGATACACATTAATGAGGCTTATAGTGGCAATTTGTCCTTCACGTATTACTGATCACTCGCCGACTGGAAAAATTGATTCGTTACTCAGACAAAAAAGTGCTTTTCTCACCAACCTGGACAGGTGATTTTTCATAATCTCGTCCTAAGCATCACCTTTAAAATCAACTTTTATAAACAACCGTCCCTTCAAAATTGTGCAGATTCTTTCAGATTGTTGTTTCAGTCTCAGGTTTTTATTGATGAATCTTGTGGTGTTTCTACTCTTTTACGAGGACTTTTAGGAGTTCCTCCAGTTCACCTATGCAGATTATTTTCATTCTTGAAGATAAGGAGGGTATGAGATTTCCCTTTCTGTTAGAAGGAGTTCGGCCATAAGAACTGGTATGGTGGTCATTCTGTGTTGGCTTCCTGTAGATTGAACTCTGAAGGGAACCATCAGACCTCCTTTCAGTTGTCCAAATCGGAAAAGACCCTGAACCTAGCGCTACTGCCAGAAAACTAGTCGCTCCCTTAGAATATCATGTGTAGTAAACGGCCCGAAAATATCAGAAAAAAATTGCCGATTCAAGGATTGGTTACAGGATTTCATCATGAGCTGACATTGGTTAGAGAACCATTGGAAAACCTGGGAGTACTGGACAGCTGTTTCGTCCTAGCTCTTTGGGACTCTTCATCAGTACGCATCCATCGGGGTTCGAACCCAGGACCTTCTGGTTACAAGGCTAGCACGTATACCATTAAGCCACTGGGGCCCGATCCAATGGCCCAGGATTTCTAGCTTCTACCAGTTCACGATTCAAGGATTGTTTATTTCTTCACCGACAGTGAATCAAGACTTTAGGGTTATTACAGCACAACGCCTATGAATAAATATCAGTATAAATCACAACAATACTTTCGATAGTTTTTCTGAGGTCTTCTGTCAAATGGCATGCCATTAGGCTACAGCCACCAGTGTTGCCTTTCGCCAAAATGAGATCCGTTTTGAATAAACAAACCGTATGTTGCTAGTTCAGTGTTTACCGACGTTGACATCTCCTTTTCATAGTAATACTCAAGAAATGAAATTCTAAGTTTATCCTGGGTTCTCATGTGAAATTGATCAAATGATGGCAGTCATTAAATTTCCCCATCATCAATTCGACGTCTGTATCTTTAACACGTACGATTAATGCATCATCCACGTATCTAATACACATATGAAAACGCTCAGTAGTGTGGATTGTCTAATAACATTCTTCATCGTGTCAAATTTCAAACCCTCACCTCTATCATTATTAGTCGGTTATCACATAGTCTTTCGTATAAATGACTGGAACTTGGAGAGCAGCATCCCATGAAAAACAAGAAAGAGCACACACGGACCGACCAACTGACACGACACACTGAAGCACATGAAGAAGAACACGAGGGCCAAAAGGGATGCAAAAAGTATCTTATTATAACAGCAAGAGATACAGATTTAGGCGTTCAGGTTCAAGGTCCAGGTTCCTTGTTTAATCACTTACGTCCAATTTTTCAACATCGTCTGATAATTAGTCCATTATGTCCATTTGATGCATATCTACAATATAAAAGAAAGAAATACGGTTACATCACAATTATGAAGTATACATATTAGTTTCAGAACTGTTACACTTTTTCGGGTTTAAGAAACCATTTCTGAATGAGAGCATCAACTGTCACACCTGCTGTTACACAACAATAGACTGCTATATGGTTTAGGAAACATGAATACGACTGTAAAACAGTATTGCATTGGCGTGTGCTACTGACATGATCTATAAGTAGTATACAGATGCAAATCATGATCCTGGATACAGAACCTCGCCAGCCCGGAACAAGCTGGATTCAGGAAAGGCAAATCATGTGTTGATCAAATTGTAACTATATGCATCGTCGTCACGGAACAAATCATAAATTGGCAGTGAAACCTCTACTACCTCAACTTCATCGACTTCGAAAAGACCTTCGACAGAGTTGACGACGAAGTAATTTGGAGACTACTTCAACACTACGTCATGCAATGCCCAAGTCTCTATCAACACTACGTGTCAGGTGATCCAAAGCGAAAGACTCAGAGAGACGTTCGAAGTGAATAAAGGAGTAAAACAAGACTACTTGCCTATTATCACCGATGTTATTCTCAATTGTAGTGGAGTGGATTATGCATCAGACTGTGGATAGCAAGGAGACAAGAATACACTGGACGACCGATAGGAAAACTCTAGAAGGTCTGAATTTCACAAGTGATATATGTCTAATGTCATAAAAACTCGAAGACTTGCAGGCAGGCAAAAACAAACAGACTGGCAGAAGAGGTGAGACAGGCAGCGAAGACAGGACTGTAGGTGAACATAGAGAAGACGGAGGTGGTGAAGATGACCAGACAATAGCAGCAACAACAACAAACCACACCAATCACCACCAGTAGGAGAGATTTAACAGAGGTTGCCACCTTCACTTATCTGGGAAGCATCTTTTCAACTACAGGCGGGACGGATAAAGATGTCAGAGGCAGCCAGTCAGAATCAGAGAGGCAAGATAAGCCCTTATCAACATGAAACCAGCTTGGAAATCTTCTGCACTGACTCAGTCAGCATAAAGAACACGATTCAGATTTTTAACACAAATGTGAAGTCAATCAGTCAGTCACTGCTTATACACGGATCAGAAACTTGCACTGCGTATCACGAAAAGTATTTCTAAAAAGTTACAAGCTTTTGTCAACAGCTGCTTTCTCTGGCTCCATACTGAATATCAAGTGGCAGGCCAGGAAGAATTATCAACAAGAAACTCTGACTAGAAGAAAAATAACCAGGAATTTGTCTTTCAGAAAATATGTAGGAGAAAATGGAGATGGATTGGGCATAGATTGAGGAAACCGTCGAACGACATTGCTCGCCGGACCGTGGCTCTAGTGAAATCCAAATATGTAGCGACGAGTGGGTCATTGGTGTTGGGTAACGTGGATGAGATCGTGTGGCGTTGGAGGAGATGAGAGATTATGGTCAATCGTATACTCAGCTGAAGAGGACAGCAGCAGACGGAACAAAGTGGAGATGTGTTGTTGAAGTCCTATGTTCCACTTGGAACCCAAAGGAATCATAATATTATAATAACAATAATAATAATAATATAGGTGCAGATTGATAGGAAGCGGCCAAAACCGAAATCAACATTTTAAGTCAATAGCTGCAGACGTGGAAGTGTATATTCCTCAAATTTGAATTTAGTTTACGATGTGGTCATGAAGTAACCTCGTTGGATAAGTTTTCAGCTCACTGTTCAACCTTAGAACAATCACCAACCAATCAGAATAATTTATTGTCCTCTGACCTAGCCAACTTTTAATGTGGTTAAATTTGTATAAATATGATGCGTTTTCCTTAATAA